GTCTTTAAGAAGCCAGCCAATATCCAGCCATCAAGACCTAACGCCTATTTATTTGAATTTCCCACTGTTTAGAGAACATAAAATTAATTGGTTACTTATTATCAATAAAGATGTTGACTTGAAATTTTTCAACAATTGGTTGCAAACTTTCCCTGTCAGTGGGAACCAAGCGAAAGAAAGTAGAAACAATGTGGGAACGACATATCAAAAATAAACGATATGAACCTTTTCTTACCTTTGATTTGTCACGCTTCTTCTGCTGACATGTTTGGTATCACGAACGTGGTCGCCATTTCTGTGTTTTGTAGCCCCTGTAGACACTTTTTTTCGACTCAAATACTTCAAAAAGGAGAGAGAAAAGAAATCGGCAAGAGTACCATATAACCCCATACATTAATTATGCATTCAGTCTTTGTTCAATGAAAACAATAGCGATAACAATAGAACTCCGCAGAGACGAGTAGTCTTTGTTTTCAAAAGTTGGATTTATTTCTAAGTCTTTTTTGAAACAGGGTAAATTTGGCGCGTTTTGGCTTTGCAAAACGGAAAAATTAAGTAATTTTCCAGAACTTTTTAACTTTGAAATATAACTGAATGTTCAGTTTCGCTTTGAAAGCGTAAAATTGGCCGGAAAATAACGTTAAGTCTACGGTCAGGCTTTGAAGTTTGTCAATGCAAAGTTTAAATAAATGTTGTGTCTAACCTGTTTTTGTGGTTTTGGTGGATTCTTTCATTATCCTTTCGTGTCCCAGAGGTGAAAATTGTTCGTGAAGGCCGGTGCATACAGCGATGCAAAGAAACCTTTGTATCTAGTCTTTCTGGACTTCAAAAAGTTGGGCGATATGTACGATAATGTTTCCAAAGGGATTGTTTCCGTAGTACTGACGCCACATATATTCTTGTAGGTAGCCATCGAAAAGTCTTTTGGATGTTTTTGGGGCAAACCTCGCTTGATTCCCCACTATGTATTTTCGATACCCTGTGTGTGCGCACCGGTGAATTCCGACGCATTGAAGCCATTCCATCGCAACCCTTTTTTGAACATCGCCACTCGTACCCGTCTCGCGATGAAGCCCGTCGCGTCCAGCTAAGTTCATTGCTGCACCCAGCTCGAGGACATTTTACCGACGTCGCAAGCAGGTTGTGATCCTTACACCACTGTATGATG